AAGAAGGAAAATGGCCCCGGATGGGAATCTGAGATGTCAGTGGAAAAATGTGAGTGAATCTAATAGACACTGACTTCACCAAACAAGAATAATGATGTCTCACATGTTGAAAAAGAGAGCGCTGATGACAAAAATAACATAAAGCAGGAGAGGAAAATTAAGAAGTACGCTAAGATCCTTGTGTTGGTTCAAGGGATAAAAATTCCAATTTAGACCTTAACAGTGTTAACCCTCGAAGTAGTAAAGAGGATGAATGGAAAATTTTAATTGGAAAGAAGAGCAGAAATTAAGCCAATGGCAGGGCAGATGGAGGACACAGAGCAGGATGGTGCACAGTAACGGAACAAAGCGGAGCGAGTGCTCCTGCAGTCAGTCACGTACATGTTACTCAGAAGAGATGCCCGAACACGTAAGAATAGTGTACACATAACATATTATACATACTATAATATGCACAAAAAGTAAACTCCTTACAGAAGAAAGCTGATGTACTGATACCTTACAAAAGAGATTTTAAAGCAAAGGCATTATTAGAGATAAGGGTGTAGAACACCACACCCAGAAACTATAGCACATATATTCTTTCAAAGTACAAATACATCATTACAAAAATCGACCATTTCATCACAGGTTAAAACATTTATGTTTTATAATGTCAGCTTTTATACTCGGGGTGCCTGTGCAAGTTTGCTACTAGGTGTATTGCAGGACACTGACGTTTGGGGTACAGATGATCCTGTCACCTAGGTCATGAGCACAGTACCCAAAAGTTAGTTTTTCAGCCCCAGTGTCCCCCACCAGTCATCCCAGTATCTCGTGTTAGCGTCTTCATGTCCATCTACCTTCAGAAACTTAAATCGTGTTGAGTATGTTCCCTGACCACAGTGCAGCTGAGGCTAGAAAAACAATTTTTTAAAAACTAGAAATATTTCCCATGTTTGAAAATTAATAAACAGTTCTAAATAACCCATTAACCAAAGACAAAATTAAATGGAAATTAGAAAAAAACTTAGAATTAATAGCGAAAGTACATATAAAAACTTGTGGAATGTGAGCAAAGGAATATTTGCACCTGCCATGCTAGGTTTTCTCTACAGGATCAAACATATGAGTATGGAATTCCTTTGTGATTCTTCTTATATTCACATATCCTAAGCAGTTATTTTCTTTCTTGCTATATTACCAGTTACCATTAAGACTGGGGCAGTAAGTGTGAGGGGCCACCCTCACTGAGATTTATTTGGTATATATGCAAAATTGACAAGTCTGTTTTTTTCAGTAAGTGCCTACTGTGGTCAGTGCATGTACTGAGCTCTCGAGAGGGTTTAAAGGTGGGACATAATGACAGATGCAAAACCCTTTAGAAACACTGGATGGTGCGGGGCCGATGGCTCACACCTGTAATCCCAGCACTTTGGGAGGCAGAGGTGGGCAGATCATGTGGTCAGGAGTTCGAAACCAGCCTGACCAACATGGTAAAACCCCGTCTCTACTAAAAATACAAAAATTTGCCAGGCATTGGTGGCACACACCTGTAATCCTACTCAGGAGGTAGAGGCAGGAGAATCGCTTGAACCCGGGAGGCAGAGGTTGCAGTGAGCCGAGATGGCACCATTGCACTCCAGCCTGGGTGACAGAGCGAGACTCTAGCTCAAAAAAAAAAAAACAAACAAAATAAAACACTGGACGGTATTATCAGTGTTAAGCACACACTCCCAGCCCCAGGAACTGACATTCTGATGAAGGAGATAGGACTTGTATGCCATAATGACTAAGGCAGGAGGTGGCCTGTAGGTGACATCAGAATTGGACCTCAGGGTCTCTGTCATCAACAGGGCCACTTACGAGTCACCCAACAGCTGTTCAGAGCGTATGAGCTCTATTTCTATCTCAAGTGTTTGAAGGAAAATGTACTTTAAAAAGTCCTAATGATGCTGTCTTTGGAAGTTTATCTTGAGCCACCAGTAACTCATTCATAGAACATCAGGACAGTTGGGACTCTTCCAGGTGTCTTGTAGCGAGAGATACACTCACGTGTAACAGATCATATGCACACACAGGTGATACTGTAACACAAATGCATATAAATACACACATGTATTTATATGTGGCTTGCACACTTATTCTGTTCCTCTCTCAAGTGGCTTCTGAAAGCTTGCTCACAGTGATACCCACTGCTTGGAGCTGGGAGGTGATACCTCCAGGAATGATAACTAATGCTGTGTTAAATAACTTTGCATGTTTAAAAAAATGTCATGGGTAACTTCTCTGACTGTCGTTCTTAAATCTGATTGGGCCTCAGAATCACCTGGAGGGCTTGTAAAACACAGATTGCAGGCATCCCCCCGGACTGTGGCTTCCGCAGGCCTGGGGCGAGGCCTGAAGCTCTGCTTTTCTCACAAATTCCCAGGAGCTGAGGCTGCGGGTCTGGGCCCCCATTTGAGAATAAACAGCTGGATCATATTGATCATTTCATTCAATCGATCGGCCATTCCAAATAGTATTTTTATATTCAAAACTAATCTCAGAACATACCTCATAACTTGAAACACTTCATAAGGTGTGGACTAGAATGTGACCTTTTCCTAAGGTATAATTTTGGAGGAAGAAAAGAGCTTGCTTTTCAGGCAGAATGTGGAAAGTATCTCACACTTAAAAAAAAAAAAAAAAAAAACAATTTATAGAAAACCTGAATTATAAAGTATCAATTGGAGGTAACTGTATGTTTCCAAGTAATTTTTCCTTTTATGAAATATAGAGAAATCTTCTACTTTCAATAATTTATTTAGATATTATTAGATATTTGCAAGGCCAAGGAACAAAGAAAATTAAAATTAAAGCCTTAGGAAACATTACCAATTGAAGACCATAAATTCAGATACAGCTGCTTGGCAATTATAATTACATTCAGAGTGAAAGAGAATTTGACTCATAAATAGAAAAGCAGCTTCCACCAGGCTTCCAAGTACGGCTAATCCCAAAACACAGGTGCCTGGAAGATCCTCAGCCACCCACTTCATTCAAACCCCAACCCTTGTGGACCGCCTGCTGTGTTCACAGAATGTTCTTTACTGAAAAACGACCTCTCATCCTTGAAGCCAATACTCATTCTTCTAACATCCCTGGGACAAAGGCAGTTCAGTCTCCACAGCACTCAACCCCGCGCTGCCTCAGGATCTTTCTGCAGAAAGGAGAGAATTGGAAGAGAACTCTGTGTCCTCGAAGGTACGTTCTGAAGCCTGGTGACTTAAATACACACGACATTCTGCCAGGTGGCTCCACATTAATAAAAGAAAAAGTGAACATCAGATCTCCAGTAGACTAGAATGCTTGAAACCTGAGCAGTCAGGTACCGTCCAAAATGCATTTTCTCCATCACACATCTAAATGTGCGAGATCCGCCCCCTCCCCAGGCCTTGTTCATTTCATCCTTCTCCTTTGTGCTTCAATCCCAATTCCATGAAGCAGATGTAATGGCTAAGTCAGGACACTTAGTGACTGAAAGTCGGAGCTTCGGTCTCATATGGCAGTTCAGGTGTCCTGGCTTGCAGGCAACATGCCAGCCTTGGGGCTCAGGAACTGTCTCCCTCTGTCCAGGCCACCTCCTGCGCCTGGAGGGCACCCAGAAGACACACGAGCCATGTCCATCTGGAAGAACTGGTTCACGTGGCCCCACCTGGGCACGGGGGAATGGGAGATGCCATCTCTGGATGAGCCACAGCTCTGCACTTGAAAGGACAGGCAAGCGGGCAGGAAGCGCGGCTCAGAGCCGCCACAGTCACAGCCTTTACACAACTTATTCTCCCTCACTTTACCTCCGTCTTCACATTTCCTAAGAAGGAGCTGCTGGGGTGGCCCTGAAGGAGCTACCTCTCTGTGCCTCAGGTGACGCTGGTGGCCGCCCTGTAATGACTCAGACCTTTAGAGTGTATGACCGCTTGAGCCCGGGAGGCCGAGGCTGAGTGAGCGCTGATGGCATCACTGCACTCCAGTCTGGATGACAGAGCGAGATGCCGTCCCCATAAAACAAAGCAAAAAATGCCAAAAACCCGAAAGACTGTATTCAATTAATAAACGTTGATAATATTTTGGATATGTTGGGTCAAATAAAATATTAATTTCACCTTTTAGAAAACTTCATGTAACTCCCAGAAATTTTTACATTACTTATGTAGCCCACAGTATGTTTCTGTTGGACAGAGCCCATCCTGCAAAATTGGAATTTTTCTCTCAACTTTTCATTTCAAATGTACTCCTGCTAATGTTTGAGGCTCACAACAAGTAAACAGCCAGGGAGGGAAACAAATACACGCTTTTCCCCTACCCTCCTAAATTCTTCAGCTTAACGAGAGAAAATTACACAGATTTACTTAGTAAGTCCCGTGTGACACGGAAGCCTTCCTAAGGCAGCAGAGCCCTGAAGAGACAGTGAGGCCCGAGCACTTTCTACACTAGGTTGAATGAAGAAGGGGAGGCTGTGGGTAGGCATGACGGGACAAGGGGAGTGAGGCCTGAGCGCTTCCTACTCCAGGTTGGATGAAGATGGAAGTCATGGGGAGCAGGCGAGGAGGGTCGGGGGTTGGTGGGGAACCGCAGCAAGGCGTGTGCACGTAGCCGCCTCCTGGCTGCCTCCGTCTTCAGAGATGAGGGCGCCTCTCAAAGGAGAGTCCTGTGACCCACTTTGGGGATGGGAGAGAGGTCCCTCCTGCGGCTGTCATTTCTCAAATTCCTTCGGGAAGGAATGTTTTTTCCTTAAAATACTCAGTATGCCAAGGTGCCACATTTTGGGGTAGTGCATTCCAAACTCCATCAGATCGGGGTTCTTGTAGTAATCTGTCCAGATAGATGATCTGGATTTATAGTGAAGTAAAATAACAACATGTCTATTTCCCTAAAAAGTATTATCCAAAGACACAGATGAGGAAGGTTAGCAAAACAGATGGTCAGGCTCAAGAACGCCAAGCTTGGATGTGAGCTCACCCCTCTCCCTCTGCCCTCAGTTCACAGAAATCAGTCACCGCATCCTGTGCTCATACAACACCAACATCGAAGAGCTCTTTGCAGAAATCGATCACTGCTTGGCGGTAAATCGAAGTGTTCTTCAGCAGTTGGAAGAAAAATGTAGCCATGAGATCACAGAAGAGGAATGGGAAAAAATCCACAAACAGGTAGGCTTGGGCTGGCAGCCCGGCCAACCAGCCGACTCAGCTGCAGCCCCAGAGTCTGTGGGGAGCTGCATGTCAGGGGAGGGCAAGGACTCATTTTGGGGAGCCCAAGAGTGTCAGGCCCGGGGTAGCCTCTGCCCTGGCTGCACCTGCCTGCACCTGTGGCAGGACCTTCGTCATGGGCTTTAGGGTGATGGCCAAGGTCCCTTCGGTTTGAAATTCTGGAAGTTCTTGTTGGATGATGCTGTTTTGTGAACTGTGAAAACACCAAAGGGAACAGATCGCCTTCCCAAAGGTTTCCGGAAAGTTCCAGCCAAAAACGACCTTGAGATGACCCAAAAGCCAAGGTGGGGAAAGCTTACTTTAAAAGTTATAAAATTAGGAAATTTGGAAAAGTTCAGTAATTAGTCAAGTGTTTTGAAAAACAGTCCTCGATTACTTAATTAAAAGGAACTATATATTATCAATGTTCAGCATTTTAGGAAGTATTTTTGTTTTAAAATTGCATATCACAGGTGGGTTACTATTATCTCACTCCACGGCTCCCAGGAGTAACAGAGTGTATTACAAAATTCATGTGATTAACACGGAATCAAACTTCTGCATGTTTAGAAGACACACGTCTTGGGACACATGGTTCTCATTTCAGTTTGAGTAACTTTCTGCTAAACTTTGAGCTAAACTAACCTGCGTGGCCGCCTCCTGTCCCGTGTGCTGCAGGCTCTGCGCCGGGAGGCCCGCGACTGCTCCATCTGCCTGGCCCCTCTGTCCCCTGCCAGCAGTCAGCGCGTGGGCACAGGCCAGCGTTCCCGAGAGACAGCCCTCCTGTCCTGCTCACACGTGTTCCACCACGCCTGTCTGCTCGCGTTAGAGGAGTTCTCCGTGGGAGATGGGCCTCCTTTCCATGCCTGTCCTCTCTGCCGCTCCTGCTACCAGAAGAAAATTCTTGAATGTTGAATTCATATTCAGGGAAAGTAAGAGAATTCTGAGGAAAAAAGTTTACCACAATTTTGGATGAACTGCATGGGTTCTGTTTTAAGTACTACGATGTAATCTGTTCCCCAGAGAAATAAGCTATTGGTAGTTGTAGGAAATCTAAGTATATTTTAAAAGCTGACAGTCCTTCTAATTTTAGTCTTTTGTCTCTAAAAAGTAAATTTCAAATTCATGAGTTTAGTCACTTGAAATAAATGGATGGCACGAAAAATGGGCTTGCTTACTTTTAAGAATGGAGGTTAGGATATAACTAGTGTCTGACAAGCTAGGAAACTAAACATGTGTCTTAAGTTCTGTTAATATTTTAAGTATCTTAAAGCCTTTGCCATTCCTAATATTTGTTTTGTAATAATTGCTATATTTGTGTAGTAAAATATAAAAATATTCAGTGGCATTCAACATCAAAAAACAGAAATTTTAATGTCTTAGAGCAATAAAGACTGCTTTAGTTCATACATTTTAAAACAGTGAAGCTTTTTGGCTAAGAGTTGTTTTTGTCACTGGTTTACAATTACTGGGAGCTTGGTTATTTACAGTAACCAATTACAGTCTCATCAGTTAGGTTGCCCCTAGCCGAATAACAGATAAAACCCCAAATCTCAGTGGCTCGCCGAAGACAAATGTGATTTCTGAGGTGTCCACCCCATGTCAACCACGGGGTGAGGCTGAAGGTCTGCCATGGTGACCGTGGCTCCTTTTGTCTTGTGACATGAAGGCTCCTTTGCCCCAGAGTCCCCTAGTGAATCCTCTCACGGTCGGTGGAGGAGGAGGAGGGGGATTTTCCAGGCCATTCTTGGAAGTGGCGCACATCGCTCCAACCACAGGTAACTACGAGGGGAAGGAAACAGCAGGGTGAGCCCCAGAGGAAAAAGCCAGCCAGGTGCACACACGGCACAGGCTCAGAAGAACCCGCCATCTAATGTGTGAAGAAACAGGAAAATTTCCATCACCTCATCACTTAGAAAAAGTACTCTGATATGTTTTGTGATTTACACATAAAACTACATAGGCATGTACAATTTATGAGTAAATATGCATATATTGGGATGCGCTCTAACATTTTTTTATTGCACATCACTGCTTTATTATACTGATCTGCAGAAAGGATTTAGTACAGTTATGCTCAAAGGAACACCAGACCCATGCGGCAGAGCCAAGCAACTAGAACGTGATTCAGAAATCAGTGCGACACTTGGACAGGACCAAGAGGCATTTCACTGCCACAAAACAAGGTGTGGGGGGACTCGGAAACACACAGCAGGAAGCACTCCTGCCCCTCAGAGGTCAAGGAGCTGATCCCATATTGGTATGAGGAATGGCTTATTTTCTGATGACCATATGTGGTACTATTTCAACCGCCACAAGAAACCCCAAAAGGATTATTGTTTTGCATTATTTATATATACTATACTTTCTTTTTTTATATAAAAGTAAACGTAACACCTAAACTAAATTCAGGATTCATCGCAACCCTCTGGAGCCAGCTTCCCTGGGGTCAGGGAGGAGACAGCTGTCACAGCACCATGCAGGTTACATTCATCTGCCGCTGGAATGACTAGAGCCCCCAGGCAGTGGCCTGACTGCCAACGAGCAGAGCACTGGCTCCTGGGGGCAGGCAGGCCCTCTTGCTTCTCTTCATTGGTCACGACTTAGTGTGTTCCTCCCTTCAAGTCCTTAGTAAACAAAGCACTTGCAAAAGCCCATCACTACCTTTCAACTCTCTTGGATAAGGGGAGCCTTTCTACAGCTTGGACTGAGAACCTGTGCCCTAGAAGTGCAATTCTGACTAGAATGTGTGAAGGGAGTGGGTACAGGAGACAAACTGGCTAAAATGAAAATGGGAGCCACCAGTCCCCATCTACAGCTACAACTCAAGATGTCTACAGATGTGGTCAGCGTGACATGTGCAGGAGGGAGGGGTAGAGGGGTGCAACAGGCAGGGAGGGTGCTCCTGGGGACAGTAGCCTGCCCACTGGCCTTCACTTCTTAGCCTTCTCCTGGGCAGCCACAGCTTCCATGGCTTTACACACGGTCTCCTCATCCCCCAGGAACTGCATGGGCTTGATGGGTTTCAAGTTCTTGTCTAATTCATAGACAATTGGAATACTGGTTGGCAGGTTCAGCTCCATGATAACCTCTTCAGAGAGACCCTCCAGACGCTTGACAATGCCCCAGAGGCTGTTGCCATGGGCTGCAATCAGTACCCATTTCCCCTCCTTGATCTGGGGAACTATTGCTTCATTCCAGAAGGGCAGAGCTCTAGCAATTGTGGCCTTCAGACTCTCACAGGAGGGTGGCTGATCTTCTGTGAGGTCTGCATACCTGCGATCCTCACTGATGTTGCTGTAGAAAGGATGGTCGGGCTCCATCAGAGGTGATGGGACATAACAGGAGCGCCTCCAGATCTTCACCTGGGCCTCACCATGCTTTGCAGCAGTTTCTGCTTTATTGAGACCGGTTAGACCCCCCACAGTGCCACTCACGGAGGCGCCAAGTCCTCACTGCTGGCAGCCACATCTGATCCATGGCACCCAGCACTGTCCAGAGGGTCCGGATCGCTCTCTTCTGCACTGAGGTGAAGCAGATGTCAAACTCACAGCCAGCATCTCACAGCACCTGCCCGCCGCGCTTCGCCTCCTTGTGGCCCGCCGGGCTCAGGTCGGCGGCGCACCAGCCACTGAAGTGGTTCTCCAGGTTATGCGCTCTCGCCGTGCCCGTCAGCACCAGCTTGTAGGCGGCCACGGCTGCAGGGTGGGGTGCGGCACCGACTGGGCACTTTAACACTTTTTAGTGACATATACCATCACAAAATGTGGAGACTAGTTTGGAGAATGCTTTAAACAATGAGCGAGCACTTTTATCGTAAGATAGCAGAGGGAAACTGAATCACTGAACCTCAATTTTCCACAAGCTGACATTTCTCTCCCCATACTGTGACAGGCAGAGCACGGCAGGTGTCAGAGGCTAGGCAGTCCAATTCCGCAACCTCAAACTCTGGATCTGGACAGAAAGTCCCACGCGGATCACTCAGTGATGGGAAGAGCCCAGGAAAGGTCGTGCCTAGGGCTGTGCCCAACACCTCTTCCTGGGCTTTCTCCATATCCGTGAGCCATCCCATACACTCCCGGAAACACCTTTCCTGTTTATGTTGGCAGAGTCCACTTCTATTCTTTGCAACCAAGTGCAGTATTTTGTTGATGCAGGAATGAGTATTAGTTGTAGGCAACAGATACTCAGGAAAATCGGTGGGATGAGGCAGGAATGGTCATCCAACTTCACTGAGGATGAGGGTGGTGAAAACCCCGTAAGAACTGAGGGGTGGTACGGAGCATCTTGTGGCAGTTAACAGAAAATCAGGTAATTTTCTTACTAAAAAGTGGCCATGGAGTGGCACGCCCATCGCTGGCTCAGGAGACCATGTTGCAACCACAGAATGATAAAACGGACCTGAATGAAGCAGCTGCTTCTCTGAACAATTTGGAGATAATGACACATTGTCAGGTCAAGTAATGAAACAATGCAAGCTTTTATACAATCACACCACAGCCTCGTCAGGTCTCTTCTATGAAAATGGGGGCACTGACCCATGAATTCATGGGAGGACTTGGAGACAGGGAGCCTGGCCTGCAGCTCTCACTGCGGCTTCCCGGCCCGCTAAAGCAGTCCCTATGGAATGTGGCCATTCCTCCCTCAACAGGCTGGAACCCACCTGTCTGATAGTCCCCTTGCAAGATGCAGCCACTTCTCGAGCCTTCTCACACATCCCTTTATGCCTTTAAATCCACTTCATCAGGAGCTCAGCATGTTGTGTGTCAGGGAAAATCATTAAATCAGTACCAAGTCTAGACAGAGAATTCTTACAGAACTGTGGGACTGGAGGCATTTGTTAACAACAAAGGTTATATCTAGAATGAGTATACCTGTCATGAATCTTTATAAACCAAGTAATATAATCGTAAGGTACATGAATGAAAAAGAAACTGAAAACCTAAAACAAAGGTTTAAAACCTAAAAAAAATGGGACTGTGATTGTACTGGCCAGTTCATCTGCCCACCATTGCCTGCAAACGTCTGCAGCTTTCTGAGTGGCGCTCCTTATCTGTCAAATGCAGCTGTGCATTTTCCACTTCACAAGGCAGTCCTGAGGGCGACTATGGGAGGACAGAGCACTTGCCCCTGCACCACACCCCAGGCCCCTCTCACCATGCCCACTTCGAAGTCTCTGATGAGATTCCACAGTCAAGACAAAAAGAAAAGAAAAGGTGAATCATCTTGAGACTGAAGCAAAGCAAGGCAGTGGGGAGGAAGTGAACGGGGAGGAGGAAGACAACATCCACTTGCCATTTCATCCTCTAACTCTGCTGTGGAGTCCACACAGAAGAACTGCGATGACTTCGAGATACTATAAAGAAAAGCTGCAGAGTCAGTACCAAAAGCTACGGCAGCATCACATACACTTGGTTCTCGGGTCAGGGTTTGCAGGTGGCACCATTCATTCATAACAGCTTTTCAAAGGAAAGGAGAAGACGTTACAACAGCCGTAAAATGGTTCCAGTAACTGATCAAACTTCCGTTCGCAGATTCATAGCCCACATGACTCCCCGCTCCTCACACTCACTCAGATTCTTCTACGTCACTCTGTCCTCCACAGCCACTCACACAGGGCCACCCTGCTGTTCACAATCCACGCCCATGAACTTGACTTCTGGAGCACCTTTAGAAGTTACAGCAGAACACCAAAGTCATATCTGAGAATAATGAGGTTTTGTCTGAAGTTTCTATTTGATCATATTTACCCTTGAAAAAAACTGTTCCTAATTAAAGAACACAGAATTGGAAGTTAAATAATTTCTCTTTGAAAAGGGAAGTTTATTGCCTAATACTCTTTCAAGACATATGGATCAGTCACAAGTCTGGAAATTTTTTAATCTGTATTTGTGAGTTTTAGGAATTTCTACTGATACTACATTTTCTACACTACAACAAGTAATCTGCATACACAGTACTTTTGCTTCAGTGGTATTTGTAGCAATAATTTTTACCTAAACAATATTCAAAAGCCAAAAAAAGAAAAAAACTCCAAAAAGGTCTTTGTATTATTTCTTCTTTCAAACCACATTCTAAAGGTATGCTTTTCAAACTGAAGTTCGCCATCTATTAGGAGGTCAGAAAATAGCTTAGTGGTATGTGTCTAATATTTTTAAAAATAACAATAAAACAGAAGATGCCAGCATGCATACATAGGAAAAACAGGTACTGCCTTGTTAAATTTTTGCTTATATGTATCTGAGAGAGACAGAGAAAGAGGGTGTGTGTGTGTGTGTGTGTGTGTGTGTGTGTGTGTGTGTGTGTAATGGGTTATTTCTTACTGTCGTCAAAAACTTGAAAGCCACTGGTGCATATGCTTCTGCCTGCCAGCGAATTCACCAGGTGCTAACAGCATTTATTCCTCCAAGAGCTCTGGGTGAAGCTGCCCAAACCACAAGTAGGTGCTGCTCAGTCCTTTTATGGAAAAAAATTAGAGAAATCAAACAAGTCTAAATAATTCAAATAATTAAATAAAATACATGATCTCAATTACTGATGCTACATTTCGGGTTATAAGAAATTGATCTCCCAATAACTCCACAACAGAGAAAGAAAATGTCCATTTCTTCCTTAATTCAGCATTCATCAGAATAATTACTGCCCTCTATAAAACTGAAGTGGAAGTAGCCTATAAATACCCTTCAGTTTTAGCCATGACGGTATTTAAGATGGAAAAAACAAAACAGCAAACCCCACACAGACATGCTTATAAACCAAATATGAAATCACTTTTTGTAAAACTTTAATTTCTAAGACATTTTAAAAGTCACACTGAAAGTATCTCATAGAAGCAAAGGCTAACAATTTGTAAACAAGACAATCTGTAAACAAAAATAACTAGTATGTCCAAATGTTATTTTAAAAAATTAACATTATACCAGTTTTTTCAAGTTTAAAAAGTCAGTGCTGTATCTATGTTCACATTTTTTAAACAAACTTGTAAGAATTCTACCTTTACGCATTAAATAACGTGCTACCAACCAAACAAGTAAGGGTGTATAAATGATGAAAACCTGTTTCCCTGGCAGATGAGGTCATCACTGAGGCTGCCGAGAGGGCCACAGGCATCCAGCAGAGTGTGGGAGGCCATGCTGCTGCCCAGAGCAGGCACAGGTGTGCCTTTAATGCGCCTGAGAGCAAAACGCGAGAGGCTCCATCCATCTCAACTCAGCAGCACCTGAGTGTAGCAATGTAAGGGGCTAACATTAGTGTATGATGATGTGTACAATTTTCACGTGAAGTGTCTTAGAGGTCTGTTTTTACAGAGAATGTACACAAAGCTACATAAATAGTAAATCTAAGAAGTATCTTGGAAAATCAGTAAAAATTAATACAAATGTTATAATCAGAAAACATAATTGTAAAACAATTTATTTAGGTATTGCAGAACCAATCAATAATAAATTGCAAAGCTTCCCCAAGAAGCTCTGGGACCATAGTGCCTAATGCCCTTGAAGAGACTGAAGGAAAGAGAATAAAACGACTGCTTGATTTAATGCAGTCACTGGTGCACCCCGTCCAGTTAGAAACGAAATTGTAGTTCCAGAGTGAATGATTCTGAGCATTTGGAGCTCTGGCCTTCCAGGGTCCATCTACTTCCTTTCACTGGTGCACAGGAACTGTAGGAGAATGAAGACCCCAGGGCGACTGTCCTTCCCAGGACGCAGTGTTTGCCCTCCTTATCCTGCCATCCATTTCTGGAGTTTGTCATATAGAGCAGCCTCCAACCTACGCCCAATGGAAGCACCTGCATTTGGAGTGAGTCTCTCAAGAGGCAGATGCCTGTGCATATGACTAGCAAGCGCCTCGAGGAGCTGTGATTATGGAGCAGTCCGTGTCTGTAACAGTCTGTATGTGTTCTAAAAGGCATCTGAGTCCCCAGGTTCGAAACTGCCCTTCTACCCCTGACGTGCATCCTTTGCTTCCACAGCAGTGAGGACGCATCCAGTAAGTGTAAAACTTGATAATTCATTGTACTAGGTTTACAAACCCCAAACTGGTCCTCGGATGGAAAGAAACTTCCAAATGAACAAAGAGTTGCAATAGACATTGAAAAGTTTAATATTTCACTTAAAAATGTTCAGACATTTTACAAGTATCTGGGAGCTCTTTGGACGTGCCCTGACACTGGGTAGTTAAAAGTGGTATTACTCTACTCCTGAGTTTCTTTCTGTTCTTCCCTTGACTTGGTCTGCTCAAAGTATGGATTCCAAGTTTCACTAAAAGTTAGACCCTGCAATTAATGCTCCAATAAGCATAACTATCAATGAAATTGGAAAAGAGCTGAATTTTATTAACTTTCTAGGTATGTCGATCTTATGCTGAGAAATTCACCAGTACTACACTGGTGGTATTTACTGAACATTGTTTAGAATCACAAAATGAATGTTCTTTTATTTTAAAACCAAGCTGCATTTTAGATAAATGTGAAGCTCAGAAGGAAATGCAGAGGGATAAATGAGGGGAAGTGTATGTACTCAATGAGGTTTATAAATATACAGATCAAAGTTTCTTATTTTGGTTTAAGTGGAAATTTCTGATGTCAAATAGACACAGCTTGTTTTTCAAAAATTTCTCCCAGAAAACCTTTACATTTAACAATTTGAAAAAAATCCTTTTGTCTGAACACAGACAATGTATTTCATACACATAGTGCATGTCAACGTATTTCTATAGATTGCATAACTATGAATTGTGTGCCAATGGGCCCATCTTCTATTTTGCATGCACAGTTTTCGGTATTCTGTCCTAGCGGATGGTTAACACAGAGTGTAAGTTCATAGTTTTTATTCAGTAGACATAGCCAAGAAAGCATCCCAATAATTATGTACAATTTAATAACTGACTGATCATGTTTACGGCAAAACTATTCTTCCACCATGAATGCTGATGCTGTGAACTTTGGATGTTAACTGGAAAAACTTGGAGGCTTCAAAAGGCATATGCAAAAGTAACCAAGCCTGAGGACTATGAGGAGAGAAGGCGTTTCTACCACCCGGCATTTGTAGTTTCCATAAGCATTACAGAAGCATGGGGAATCAAGTGATCTTTGAAAAAATGCTTTAAAAAATTGAGTATACATATAGCCTATAAGGCAAAAATCCAAGTTACAAGTGTATTAAACACTGGCAACTATGTTATCAGAGGTAATACTGAATTATATACATAAACTGTCATTCAACTATGATTACATGACACTCCCTACCATAGCTTATTAGACTGTACAACAGAAGATATTCCTGTGGCTCTCTAAGGCTCTAGGTTTAAAAGAATTTAGTATTTTCCCCTTGGCTCAAAGTCTGATCAATATCATTCTGTAACAGAAATCAGAAACTATGCCTTTTGCTTTTAAGGAAATAAAAAACATAATTGCCACCATTACCATTCCAACACACACACTGCAATAATGATATCTACAAGCAGTTCCTACTGCATTTGAAAAATGTATTTTCTGAAGAACCTTCACTTAGTACCAAGGATGCCTTTCGGGTAGGCGTCTACATTCTGAATAAAGTATATAATGGGATTTAAGGAAATCTTTAGAAAGTCCCGGAGTTTGCCTTTTCTAACATTGTCATATCAGGTGAAAACAGTGTTTTCATAGGGATGACCGTATTTACCAATATGAGCAAATGTCTACAGAAGAATGTGCTGTTCTGTATGTCTCTAAGGAATCTGCGTTTAACTGGAAACTACAGGGTCTATCAGAAAGTGAAATTTAAAAAAGACCAGCCATGGCCAAGTTCTTCGTAGATTATGAAAAAAAAATGGCACAGATAGGCCTAGGTTCTGAAGAGGAGCCAAGGTCGAAGTGGAAATGCTTCTACACGGGACAGGAATGTCATGAGTCTGGAGTTCGCGAGTCTCTTGGTTGCAGAAGACGCCAGCTGTGTGTCTCACAGTGCTTTCTGATGCCCATTTACAGAAGGCTTGGCTGTTTCTGAATCCCTTGAAGTATTTGATAAGTGAAGTTTATGAAGCCCTGCAAAAATTAAGAAAATGGTGAGAAATGATAGATTGCTGAGTGGCTGGGGAAGGGTGAGGGTAGGGAGAGGAGGAGACTGGCAAAGCTAAGTTGGATTTGGGAAGCTGTGAGGTGCTGCCCAGATCCCCCTGAGGAATGAAAGATTTCTTCTCCCTACTGGCAACCTCCCTTTGGGGATGGCCTAAGCCGAAGACAGCTGCAGGGCGGGAAGTCCTGCTGCTTCCAGGATAGCACAAGAGGGTCGTAAAAGTCTGCCCCCTCTTCTCAGTTCAGTGGAGCTCTGAAGGCTCACTGTAGCCACAGCGTCCCCGAGGGCCAGCAGAGGCTTCTAGAGTGACTGCATCAGAGCACAGTTCTCTCTCTGCACAGCCCCTTCCTCCTTCCTTTCCCCAAGCCGGCTAATAAACCTCTTCCTGGCAAGCATATTCCCAGCTAAAGTGTGCTTCTCTGGGAACCTAACCCAAGACAGATATGTTCCCACTTTCATTTTTAAATACTGTATATACACACAGGCTAGGTGGGGTGGCTCACACCTGTAATCCCAGCACTTTAGGAGGCCAAGGTGGAAGGATCATTTGAGCTGAGGGGTTTCAGACAGGCATGGGCAACATAGTGAAACCCCACCTTCATGAAAAACAGAAAAATTAGCTGGTCACAGTGGCTCATGCCTATAATCCCTGCACTTTGGGAGGCCAAGGTGGGAGAATCGTTTGAGCCCAACAGGTTATAACTGCAGTGAGACGTGATCACACCACTGCACTCCAGCCTGGGTGACAGAATGAAACCCTCTGTCAAAAAAAATTTTAAATAAAGTAAAATAACACACACACACATGCAGGAAAATGTAGGGAAAGCCACACCAAAATATTCATATGTAATTAAAAAGAAAAGAATGGAAAACATTACCAAAAAAGAAAGAAATGACAAAAGAATAAATGGAACATAAATATCTCACTACCCAA